GAAATTCTGAAAAACAATCCTACCATATAGCGAGTTTAATTAACATGTATTTATCAGTACTTTTCAGATTATATCACTAAGTAACACTGAAATATCCTAACTCATATTTTTATGTATGACGATTTCCTTATTACATAACAGTATTGTTTACGTAATTTGGTGTCATATTTTATAAATTGAAGCTAAAATTATTACTGACACATGCTTTGTGTGTAAACTTCGATATTATCTTGCTAAATAATTACTTCGTAAAGTTCTAACTAACTTTTACATTATGAAGTATTTTTTAAATAGAAAATTTCAATCCTAAATATAATTCTACACTTCATTTTTGTCACTGATTAGTATAATTTAATGAAGATAGACGAAGATTTTCAGAACTATGTGATATATTAGGCAATACATTGCGAACACTCTGACCACATATATATTTCAATGATTGAGATCATGGGAAGCCTGCAAGCACTGGACTGGTTAAAGTTAGAAATAGGATGTCGGCTCAGTGGTCTAGAGGTTTAGTGCTGATAGGTCATCGGTTCGAATCTCGCGAGACGGGATCGCGGGTGCGCACTGCTAAGGAGTCCCATACTAGGACGAAATGGTCGTCCAGTGCTTCCAGGTTTTCCATGGTCTAGCTTCAATTGACTCATGATGTCAACTATTGCAATTACTATAATATCAACAAAAGTCCTTTTGATATTAATCAACATAGTTCCAATAATTTCCTCTTTCTATTGGATTATCCAAATTTATCACAAGGGCTAATTGCTTTAAATTTCTAAAAAAGGGGCCTATTATATTTTATTTCATTGCATTGCTTGCTGTGTATTAATTCACGTCGACGTTTGTGGATGTGTTTTCTTCATAGGTATATTCGATATCTACTCATTCGTATGGTTGTCGTGTTATTCAACGTATTTTAGAGCACTGTACACCTGAACAAACTACTCCAATTCTCTCTGAGTTACACCAACACACTGATGCGCTTGTTAAAGATCAGTATGGAAATTATGTGATTCAAGTAGGTGGTGGAAATTTTGTACCTAATACTGTTTCTTGTTTATAAAGTTATATGATGTAATTAAGAACATGGATTTGTTGTATACTCTTTTGGAACTTCTGAGATTTTTTATAATGTTCGCAGTAGTTTTGTCTTATTAGTAAACAAGTATCTACTTTTTATTGAATTTTCATAATTGGAATATATTTACAATACGGCCTTTCTACAAGTTTAACATCGTAATTGGGCAAAACAAACACAATTGAATTTCTAGAATTATGCGATTTAGCTTATACAGATTATTGATATTTCTGAAGGAGAGCGCCTAATACATATCTAATTATAAATTCATGTTTATTTTCACACATACCAATTTTTAAATACAATATTCCTCTTTTTTTCTAGCATGTTCTTGAACACGGAAAAACGGAAGATAAGAGCCGAATCGTAGAACACATCAAAGGTCGTGTAGCTAAGCTGAGTGTGCACAAGTTCGCTAGTAATGTTGTAGAGAAAGCTGTTGCGAACGCTTCACGAGTTGAGCGTCAATCACTTATCAATGAAATACTTGAAGAAACTGTGTTAACTGAAAATCAAATTGTACAAAATGGACAAAATCAATCTAGGGAATTTCGGGTTGATGATAGTTTTAGTGAGAATGATGATGACGATGATGATGATGAACCCAGAACGAGAAGTTCGGTATTAGTTATGATGATGAAAGATCAGTTTGCTAATTATGTTATCCAGAAAATGTTGGATGTTGCTGAACAACCGATAAGGAAAGAGCTTATGATTCAAATTCGTCCACATTTAGGTATTTTACGTAAATATACTTACGGTAAACATATCATTAATAAGATGGAAAAATACTACATGAAAACAAATCAGTTACATTTAGCCGTTGGACTAAATTCTCCATCACCACCTCCATCTCTAGATATTGTAAACGCTTCTTCAAACATCACTCAATCGAATTTAAATTCAACTATTCGTAGTTGTGGAAGTACACATAGCAGTTCGGCTGCATCACTCCTCCCACCACTGTTAACTCCAACAGATATGGCTATTCGAGCTTCGAAGTCAATTTCAGTGAATCGATCCGGTCATTCACACCATTGCTATTCTAATCATATCTCTCACCATCATCAGTCGTATTTATCTTCATTTTCGCGTAATGGTTTACCATCACATCGGGTAAAACATAAAGAGTCCAATAATAGTAACTCAAATTCTCAGAAAGTTTCAAATGAGGAAATGCAAAGTAGTTCTACACTTATGTCTGATAGTACGAGTTCATCCAAAGAGACGTTGGAAGTGCATAGAAGTTTTGATGACGAGTTCTGTGGTGGTGATAATATTAGGTCCTTAAAAAGTAAACATGAAAAACACAATTCCGAATTAGAATCATCTAATTTTAATCAAACACCAACGACTACGAATGAACGCTCCAATAGGAACTGTGACGATAATAAAGGAAAAGTAAAATTATCAGATCCAGACAGTACTAGTCATTTGTATCAAGTAGTCAATGATGTATCAAGTGATTTTCGAGTGTCATCAACAACAAAATCTAGTATTCCAACATCTACTAGCGTCAAACTTAATGAAGTAGATGTTAATGGTGGAAAGTCAAGAAGTGTCGGTGAACTATTGACTAACGGTAGTGATCATTAATAATGTTTGCTATACCTTTTCCTCTTCCTTTATGTCAATTTATCTTCTTAAATCCTTTTTTTTCTAAATGTTATATGATCATCAATTAACCGTTAGGAAATTGCTTATTCGATAGTATCTTCCATGTTTTGTATTTTATCAAGCTTCAATTCCTTGTGCAATGATCTATTTATCTCAAACTGTTTTAAAAAGATTTCCTCATGTTCAGCAAATATCATTCTCTTGCACAGACGATTTATTATGTAATGTTTTTTCTCTCTTTTTATTATATATTTTTTTAAGAAAAATTTCGACCTTCCATTGTCTCATGTATATGTACGTATAAGCTTTGATTTTTTCTTTTTTTAATGCAAAGAAATGTATGAGACCTTGTAAAACATAACTTTTCACTGTACGTGATGTTTACTGATTAATACATGGATGACGGGTCCAGGTTATTTATATATACATACATTCTATTGTTGCGTTTCATTCTCTTTCACCATACTACCCTATCGTCGTCAGTTGTGTTGTTATACTGACATGACTGATTCTGTATTAATGGTACACTTCACTTGTTATTTCTTTCGGTGTATGTTGTTGTGTAATCAACTGAATATCCTTATATGTAGTAAAAATTTCAATTTTTATTCAATGTATGTGCATCTACTGTAAATCTGACTATTCTCAATTATGAATCTATTATATGCCAATTCAAGTTGTATTTATACGTATATATATATATATTAATAATCTTCACTTCATATTAACCCTTTTTTTAGTTCCTGATGTCTGATCATCTTGGAATTGTGTATTGTTTTCTACAATAATAGAATGTTTGTATTTAGTTATTTATTATTACTATATTGGTTGAAGTCATTTTGTAGTAACTATCCTGTTTAATCAAGCTTGTCTTTGTATACATTCTGTACACCATTTTAACTTTTATTTGTTTCACTTGTGTGTTTGTGACAATGTGTTATTATTACTATTATTGCTATAACACTCTCCCAAGTTCTTGATACTTGTAATAATATGTATTTTTCACTGTTCTTTCACTATGAAAAAATTAATCGTTTTCACAAATAAAATGAATATATATATATTCTCTATTTATCATTGTGTTTTGTTTATTATTCCATTCAATCGTAAACAAATTGTCAGTGTTGGATATCAGTACCTTCAATCTAATTACATAATCTACTAATTATGTATTTGTTAAGTATATATTTTCTTTATTTGCACAATGGTTCGTATTAATTAAAGGCTTTCCGTTATTATCTTGTTAGCTTACGTTATCTAGTTGATTTCGTATCATTTTAGTTTTTTCATTAGGCTAACAGATTTGATATAATTTAAAAAAAACAACTAAATGTTCACAATTAGACTTTTGTAAAGTTATCGTAGATGCTTTGATATATTTCGGCGTAATACAATTCATTTGAATTTGAAGGGAATCAAAGTCGTTTTGTTTTGCTCACTTATGCCTTTGGAGTCGTCATGTACCTCGATCTTTGACGACTATCATTATGTTTTTAAAGTTTTATGTGTATTTGCTCTCAAAGTAAAACTAGGAAACCGTGATGAATATTCTTCCACAGCTCTCATACTCGTTGACAATATCATAAATTGACTACCTTCCTGTCATTTACACCCAGTCCCAGCGTCGATAGATAAAAAACGATATAGGAGTTAGTAGGATAACATTCATTGTATATGTATTAAGATATACAATGCGCTTCATAAACAACAGATATAAAAATTATATGCATAATGAATTAGATACTTTACAGTGCCCTATATCACCTGAAAGTTAGTACAGAATTACGGAGGTGACATATAACTACGAATTCTTCAGAATTCACGATGAATTCAATTTAGTATTGCACTCAAAGCCCTGGTACGGCTGAGGGTGTGGAGAGTTCTCGAAAAGCTCTTACATAGCCATGCGTACATAAAAATTCCTTCTCGCGGCGGGGTTTGAAAGGACAAGCAAGTGCCCGGTGCTTTAACCAAGTAAGTGGATGTGGACGATTCACCTAGTGAGGTTGGAAAACCGTGATTCCAAACCACGGCTCCAGGATCCTACAAGGACAAATAGAGATTGCTTATGTGTTTAACTAAAATAAATAATTTGGCATTAAGACACCCTGGAAGATGTAGAACTCGATATCAGTTCAGTCAGTTAATAATAAACTTACTGAAAGACACGTAAACTAGGAGGTAGATCTGAATCTAATTTGTCCGTAACAAATTAACCAGGAGGAATGAACGTTAATCACATGACCGCGTAAGAGGTTTAAGTTGGGTAATAAAGTCAAACTCATTATCAGAACAACAAATTACATTTATGCAATTTATCAAAGAAACATTTTTTATGTACAATATAATCAGAAAATTAAAAGACCTAACGTTTGATAAAATTATCATGAAGCTCCCCTTTCTGACGATTACTAGCCTTACGATGAATACCTTCTTCTAAAGTAGTCCTGTCAACGTGTTGGTTTTTTAAATGACTAATAAATGATGGTCCATGAGAAAATTTCGAGGCTAATTCCCTTTCCTCTTCATTCTTTTTTATCTTATAGTGAGTAGTGGAACGATGTAAACGTTCTTTTTCATGTTCTTTTGCATCAGAAATCATCTGGGCTCGCTTAGCTTCGATTTCTTCTTTGGATAACTTTCGTCGATTCGATGATGATTTGTGATAGTTAGATCTTTCTGAACAGGATGAAATTGATTGATTACGTTCTGAATGATGTTTTCTGTTCACATTTGAACACTTTTGGTGTGAAAGTGCATGTTCCTGATCACAAGAATTTGAAAGTTGTTTTTTAACAGTACTAGATGATTCTTTACTACATTTATCCATAGATTTCTGTGAGCTATCCTCTTTCAGTTCATTAGATTGATGAATAATTTCAATGAACTTATTCAGTAATTCATCATCTGAACTACCTCCCTCTGATTCATCTGAACTTTTATGCAGACGTTTTTGTTTTAAATGTTTTTTACTTTTACGTTTTTCTTTACGCAATTTTTGCTCTGTTAGCTATAAAAAAATATTATCAAATGATTGGATAGACCTTACAAGTCTTCGAAGTTTCCTAACTTTAGCTGTATTCTGAAGCAGTTCTATTCGTTTTTCCGCTTCTCTTTGCCTATTAAGTAAATGAGTAAAATACCTCAATATGATTTAAATAATCACTTCATAATTGTCAGGGGATCTTCACGAAATTTGGCTTCCATATCAAATCTAGCAAGTCGTTGAGCAGGTGATTCGTCATATTCTAAATTAATTTTTTTTTTAAACTCGATTTTTTTCTTTTACCTTTACCAATTTCCTGAATTTGGTTTAAGCTTTGAACTTGTTTTCCCAACAAAAATGCTTCAGGATCATCTTTCGGTTTCTCATACATCCATGAATTCTCATTTGTACTCCTAATAATGGGGAAAAGTAAATTTTATTTAGATGTTTAAAAGTTTACTTTTTCTCTGCTAAAAGAGCAGCGATTTTCATACGTTCTTCAGGAACCTAAAACAATATTGGAAACAAAATAGATTATATCGCTAAAATAACTTATAGTAAAATAATACAATCAGAAGAGTAGGCGTAATTTAACGAGCAACCCCAAGATTATATTTATCATTAATTATTATGCACTGAAAAGTTCAAGTTTGCATAAGCCAACCGAGCTTACAGAATCCGTATTGAGATTTCGTCAGATGACAACCCACAAGAGCTGACGAGACTTCTGAAATAAGTGAAGCAGTCCATGCACTCAAATATTTCGCTACATAACATTTTAGTCACTGACATAGATCAGTCCTAAAGTAACACTTTGCATTGTCCCTTAAGGAAATCAAAAGTCAACCGTATGAAACAAGATTTTTACCCGTGTATTTTAAATGGATAGCCTCCAAGTATCCTGATACGGTTGAAGGTGGGGAGATCCAGCTCGCCTTCTTGAGATGCCTTCATATTGCCACACGTATATAGCCACTGCTGAGAAATCCTACTCACTGCCTTCTCGCGGCATTACTGTTGTATTCGAAATTGAGAAGACGAAAATAGAAGGTCCGGTGCCCTCACCTGTTCAGTGACTACGCAAGGTTCATCTGGTGGGGTTGCAAAACCCTAATATCAAGCCAATGGTGTACATGGGCTCCAGGATCCTGAGGGAAAAATGGCTCGTGAACCCATTCTTGGCCACCGTTTATGATGGGACCGCATCTCTTAACGTCGTTTTACTGCCTTGGGGATTTTTCGTGCTTTGTTGATTTGACATCAACTTGATTGAATGATGATGTTAACAAGATAAAAATGCCGCCAACTCTCGTATATAATTATCGATTTAGTTTGCGTTAGAGAACAACGGAATAAAATAAGTTGAACATGAGAATTTTGGATACGTATACTTCACACACCTATTGACCCCGAGCAAATGTCACTCAATATTTATAGCCAGATAAAAGTAAGCCAAAGATGTGATACATATACATATGTTCATATAGAGATAGTCAAGGTTAATAAGCGAATAATTGACAAGGTCAAAATGTGACTCAAGAATAAATAACGTGGTCTGTCCGGAAGCTAGCGTTCCCATGTGGGCTTGACATAGTGCTAGATACTACAGATTAGACCTCTGAGTCAAAGGTTTATTATTTTTTTTATTTGAACACATAGATATTGGTAAAAGTAGGCACCAAATACATATGCGCCACACAAATCTCACTTGATTTGTTTGAGGGCTGTGATACTGCCCGGGTGCCCAAACCGAAGCAGATGGTTTTTTCAGGCCACACTCGGAGCATTCTACCTGAAGGTCTGATCCACAAGGCAGTGGAGCATTGTAAGGAGATGCAGTCCCATAATAGCCGGTGACCAATGATTGGTACATACGCCATTTGTTCCTTCAGGATACTGGAGCCAGCCCATGTGCACCACTGGTTTGGAATCAGGGTTTTCCAACTCTTCTAGGTGAATTCTCTGTGTCCACCAACCCGGTTAAAGCGCCGGACATTCGCTTTAGGTCCTCTGATTTTCGTAAACAACACCCCGGCCACGAGGAGTCAGCGAGTAGGACTTCCTTGGTAGAGGCTATATACTCGTGGCCATGTGAGAGGATTTTGGGAGGGTGAGCGGACTCTCTCCACTCTCGGACGTGCCAGGGCATTTGGGGGCCTGGGTCAAAGGCTAGGGGGTCGAGCCCTTAAAATCCACCTGTTTAGGTTTGAGAAGCTGGAGGGTATCCCAGCTCACAAGCAAATTGAGTGGTAACTACGTTGTGTGGGGCATATATATTTTGTTGCGTTTTTGTACCGATATTTATGTGTTTAAATAAATAAATTCAAGCGGATAAGTGAATCGCCTAGTTAAAGATCAATCCCTGAGGGATTAGACAGAGATACTATCTCATGAGAAAGTTAACTAGAAATGCGAAAGTAAGTAGCCCCGACGAACACCATTTGAAGTTGATGGTTCGTCACAACCATTGACTAGACTAAAAGTGTTCGAATAGAAAATTATATCAAGGTTCACGTACCTCTTTGAAACTTCTTTCTATGATTAACACTGCTATGTGAGGTTTTCATTAACGGAACCGAACGCTGTACTCATGTCATGAAATCCCACTACTATGAGACGATAATGGGTGTCGGAATGCTCTAGAACCTGACAAAAGGTTGGTATCTGATCAATACATTCAAGTTCAAATTTGAAACCAATCCGACTTTCTTAAGCCCAACACCACAAGCTTCAATTAAGCTCCAGCTGATTATTGAGGCTAATATTTCAGATAAAATGAAACTGCCGGAGCGAATTCAATAGTGGAGATAGTATAGGTACCATTAAAAAGGTTATGCAACGAAATTCTAAATTAGTGAAATGAAAAAAATAGAAGGATTTTTAAAACATAGGATCTAAAGAAAGCTAAAGAGTGAATCCATCTGCGCGATTGTGAACAATTTCGAGCTATATCATACAAAGTCTCTGACGACTGGTTACGATAATCACGAGGAACCTAACCAGGTAGTAGGCACCTACCATACAGCTCAGTTCAACAGTTTGCTTCTTCGTGCACTAATCCTGTTTTGGTTTTGCCGCCTCTAGCTGTTTTCTAACTTATTTCTATACTAGACAAATGCTTTAGTCCTTATTGTATTCCGAGCCAGATGAGATGAGACTTCAAACATTTATCAACTGAGTAAACACTACTGAAATCTATTATTTCCCAACCTTATAGTATGAGTTACTGGTAGATCTCACTGCTGTTTCTCCGGCTGTCTGGATATTATGCTAATCCATATTAAGATAAGTGTCACATTAGAGGTTGACTAACTGCTTTCCCCACTGTTTCTGAAATATACTATGTACTTCATAGTAAAGCTGAACTATTTGGGGTCTTCTTGATCTAGATTTTCTGGGTCTAGTATGACGCAAACAAACACGTTCTCTTACTGGAGCAGGATCAGAGTCTAGACATGTGCCACAGAATGAGCAGCAGTCTCCTATTGAGCCTCTCCAACGATCACTAATCACAGTATGGTCCTGATTGAGGCTATCGTTGAGTTAATTCTACTGGTCGCCATGTCGGACGATGTCTCTCCTTATGCTTAAAAGTGATACTTTTTAGGAATAAACGGTTGTCTGGACAGATGCTCGTCGTCATCTGTTCGTTGGGCTGGGACGCAGTAAGGTCCGTCTAAATGTCTTCTATTTCACTTGAAACTACCTACTTGGGTGATAAAACCACTGCTACAATTCAGTCAGACAGTCAGCTACAACGTAGGACCAGGTACATATGTGCATCGGTCCAGGTTGCCATACCGCATCAGCACAACAAGATGAACACCGGATTCATAGCAGTGGTTAGGTCAAAGGTAGTAATATGTAAGAGAAAGATTGCATATGGAGATATAGTACAAGAAGAAAGAATTGGTTCGTAGAAAGAAAGATGTGAAGCGATTTTAATCTCTTAGTTTAAGGGAAGACAGGGAGTGTATACACCGACGCCATTGTGATCGATTCTGAGCCATGTCACCAAGAGCCTCCAACCATTCGTTACGATAGTCACGCGGACCCCAACCAAGTAGTCTGCATCTACCAACATGGCTCAGACTAGAAGTTAGTGACTTCAAGCACTGATGCCTCGTTTTGGTTTGGCCGCCCCTAACTTTCTTCCAACCATTTCCAATATAGGATAGCATTGCACGTCGTGGTAATCGGTGTTCAGGCATACGTAACACGTGGCCCAACCATCTCAGTCGATGAAGATTTATAACCTCATCAACTGATTTGCCATCATTCCCTAATACCCTGTGTCTAACCTCACTATTACTTACCTGGTGATCCCAGCAGACGTCAGCAATATTTCTAAGGCATCTGTGGTCAAATACTAATAGCTTACGAGTGTCTTCTACTCTTAATGGCCATGTTTCGCTGCCGTAAATTAAACAGAACGGACTGCCGCGCAGTATACTCGTCCGACCGTTGTTGCTACCTTGACGTGGTGGTTGGGCTTGCCTATCGTGATGAAGCAACCGAGCTATACTGGCTGGAACAACTGTTCCTCAACGTCCTACCATGTCAGACAGGTCGGTTGAAGAGCGGTAAGACTAAAAGCAACAAACCCAAGATCCGAAGGCGAAGTAGTACTGCTGACTGCACAGAGGTGTGACAGCAGTAAGGTGTTTCCTTCAGACAACCAGCATGACAGCGATGCTGCTTTCCCACAAGGAGGGGTGGGGTTAGAAAAGGTCGACCCTAAAAATGCGCACCTCACCTTACCTCACGGATTTCCGTCTCCGGCGATAAGGCCCTTTGAAGAACGGAGCTAACACGTCAAAAACCTCCCACGAAAAGGCCGTGCGCGACCGGCCTCAAGCAGTTGTCCCTTGGGCACTGCGGTCACGCTCTCAGGTCACTAAAACCACCTCTAATCCAATTTCCTTTTCAGGTACCTCCAGAAGAACCCTTCCACGGTGTGGGCAACCGGGAAGTGATAACCGCTCTCATACCTCTAACAGCACTCAAGACCACTGTATTCATAATAAACCCCCGTCTTCAATTCCTATTATTCCTCCTACATCGACTTTCAACAACTGCTACAATTACGTCTAAGTGTTTGACTTCTTGTAGAAGAGACAGTCCTTTTTTAAAACTCATCCTTCAATTGATCCGAACTGCGATCATTGGTAACGTAGGCAGAGAGGATGAAGAGACATTGGTGTGTAATTAATCCACCGAGTTCCTATTATCCTTTTAGTCAGAAAGTGCATGAGCTGCAATCTACCGAAATTTAGTTTACAAGAACCTGCCCTGTTCAAAACTTTAAAGCCCAAGATGTACTTCAGAGTGTGGTACTAGCATACTAAGAGTAACACTGAGGAATTGAATCGCTAGCGTTGGCAGGACAAAGCTGGAACTGTAGGAGAAGACTTTATGGTAGGATTAAAAGAAATGTCGAATTAGATGAGTACTTTATTTAGAGTTTCCCAAAGGCTACCCTCATCCAAGAATGACCACGAATCCGCAAGCCCTAGTACATGACTAGTAGGATGATTGAGCGAAAATTTAAAATTTTCAGTTCTGCGCTCTATGTGATATTTAGGAAGCACACTATTAATTCACACGGTGTTTTGGAAAAATGGCTACTTTTTACTCATCCGGTTATATGATGACTGTTTCGATTTCAAGAAATTAATAACCAACTGAAATATTATCATATTCTCAAGATTAATGGTTTCAAAAACTCACCGTACGTAACCTCAAAAATTAAATGACTTACAAGATCCTTCAAATTCATATTGCAAGTGAATCGAAATGTCTCTCTCTATCCGAAACAGTAGCAGGATTAGGATAAAAAAACTAAAAAAGATAAGAATGCATAAAATATGACTAAAATATATATACCTAAGAAGAATCTTTTGTAAAAATAAATAAGGCGAACAACCCGAAAGCAAATAAACTTATGTGCAAATTAACAACTTTCATAACGACCTGAAAATGGCCCAATCACAGGAAGTTTCATTAACGTGTGATATGCGTTTAGAATGGTCTTTCTCATGAAAGCTAGTAGAAGGTCAAACATATGTCGAAAAGAAGTTATGAAATGGGAAGGTTGCGCTACCAGTTACATCGTGATATGAAGTGGAAAATAAGAACCATGACTTATCTATCTCCCTAACCTGCCACACACAATAGTGATACGACAAAGGAAAACAAAAGGTACAAAAGAATGTCAAGCGCATTATGATGATAACGAACTATAACATAGATGGAAGTGAATTAGAAGAGAGGAAAAGCATAGGATTTTAAAATGCAGATGGTATATTTAAGTGTCTAGCACTGTTTTTTTAATTTTTTTCAGATTTCGTGAACTTATTTCCAACCTTATCGAGGAGAAAGAATTTGCGTAGATGATGAAAACCAACTGCCAGATTTTATGGTTTTGCAAAGCAGCATGTCCGCCCTTAATCTATTCCAGACATGTCTGCATACGAGCTAACATAACATATAGAAGTCGTGTGTGTGTACAGGCACGTAACAGATCTCAACTAATTCAAACAATGATGGCTTAAGATCGAGTTGGCCACTACCTTGACTAATCAACTACAGAGACAAGGCCAAAAAGATGTGCATTTTTAAATACTTGTTTGTATGCTATGTCCAGTAATTATATTTTGTCATAGGACATAACATTGTAATTTTCTGAGACATCCATGACATTCAATACGGATAAATATGTGTCACACGTGACAGATGATGTAATTTGGCAAGATCAACACTTTGTTCACTCAACAAACGAATGGCCCCAAAATTAGTTGTGGTGGGATTCAACGTATTTAAAATCTCACAGAAAAATCAAGTCACTATTTTATTATACTTCTCTTCTCAAGATTCTCTCATGCATACCACTTTGCACACAGATGGACGAGACGCGTAATGCTGCAAATCCATTAGTTACAGCAAAAAGACAAAACCCAAAGGAACTTATTCCATACATAGATAAGTTTCGATCGACTATACGACATAATGGACCGGCTTAGGATCTTGATTTGTTTCAACGGTAAGGAATTGTATATCAGTTTTGATGGGCTGATAGCAAACAATACCAAGGTGTTAAACATTAGAATATAGGTAATAATCAGAACATAAACCAAAGTGAAATATTTGAATAGTTGGTTAATATTAATTAGCGACTCACTAATACAGCTGGAAGTTAAAAGGAAACAACCTCTAGAACTTGAAATAAGCGTGATGATTGGACAAATATAGAACTATGGTTAGGCTAGGTTAGAACTGATAAAACATGTTAAAATCGAAGTATTTCTCAACGTTGAGAAACGAGTACAACTAAATTCAAACTCGTGTAAGAAGTTACCCTGAAAACACAGCTTTTTGACTGATCAGGAACGACAACGTTCCTACTCCCGTACATATATATCTACACATTCAGTAGACTATAGTCTAGTGTATACAGTTGATTACAATGTATATTGATATACATATATGTCTGATAAAAAGCTTGAATATCAAGGGAAGAAACTTCACAAGAATTTTTTAGAAATGCGAATCAGTAGTACTTTGTAAGAAACTGTTATTTAAACTCCTGTCTACCTTGTGGAATGTTACGCAACTAGGGTAAGAACTCACAGTAGCGCAGGCTTCAAACTTCCTGAGGCCTTTTGGGAAGCATATTGGGTCGTATGTGGTGTTACATTCAAAGTGCTGGAATGAAACTGAGACGATTTTGGTTTCTAATAACTTTTAATCAAACGATTTTATTTATGGCGAACTGGAAATTACTCTCAGACCAAGGCCCACAGTTTTGTTCTTATTCTCCCAGAGTAGTACGGATTATTTTCTCTTGGGATTACGAAAATGTGGTGTTTGAACGAACTAATAATATCCTCGTACTTGTTGAATGCTCGATTTCGAATTCCAAATACACTACATTCGTTTGTGTTTGTGTCTCACTTCTTAATTCAATTGCGTTAACTCTGGGATTCCTAGTTCATAATACAATTCAAATAATTCAAAACATTATATTGGCGTCGCGATGGAGCCTGTAATCGAAAAGTTAGATATTCATTCAACTTCGGAAGCTTTTGAAGATTACTTTGAAAGGTCCGAACTCTGGGCTATGACCAAGAAAGATGATGAGGATTTTATTATTGTGGCACACTTCCTCACACTCATTGGAAAAGAAGCATACAGCTTTTAAGAATTCCAACTGTGCCGGAAAAGTTCATTTCGCTTCCTTATACAACTGTAGTGACTCACGTTTATCACGAGAACACGACTGGTTTAATAAAAACAATTATTATTATAACCAACTGTACCAGTGTTTGTTTTAACGTGCTTTTGTTTGACTGTGCTAATGACAGCTATTTTGTGCTTCCATTCATATACACACACTTTGATTGTAACTTCGCGCGAATTCGGTTACCTTCTGTAACCAAGGTTGTATCCTGGCACGATCTCGGTATCCTTTCGATGCCACGAGATCGCCAGCAAATAAACCTCGACTTGGTCCATTAACTGTCTTCTGATATTTGGCTTCTCGGGGATTTTATGGATCTATTTGGTTACGTCCAACCCTCGCCTTCTGATTTATCTGGCACGTGTTTCTTGGTAGCGGTGTTCATAGTTAACCTCAACACGACGCCACGCTACAATTGGTAATCCCAATTCGAATACAATTGGTGACCCGTATTTCGGAACACGCCTCAACTTCTAATCAAATCTTCCAAAGAAGCCAATTCGGTGAGTCTATGATTTATCTATCCACGTCTGTCGTATATTTTCATATTTTTTAATATATAATATACGCGACATGACGGATAACGATAAGAATAGTATTAATATAATAGACTCACACGTATGTGTACCGAATCCTTGTCACTTTTTATTCGCGTGATGATGAATTTCAAGCTCTATTCGAGAAATGTTACCCTATTAACGATTCTCCTCGCTGACCCGGCTGCTTGGTACGGAATGCATACGCATAAGCATATCCGTCTACCACCCAGCACCAAATGGTTAAATTGAACGGTTTCACTGCCAACTTAAAAGTGTTCTACGAGCACACGAAAACGGCAACTGGCACGAAACCTTACCATTCGTTCTTTTAGGGGTGAGAACTAGTTTAAAGGCAGATATCCAATGTTCCGCCACTGAACTTGTATACGGCACGACATTGCGTCTGCCCGGGGAATTTTTCACACCACGGAGCAGGCCTAATTTCGGTAAATCAGAATACGTCCATCGACTGTCTGCATTTATGCGAACGCTGTCTCCGGTGTCAACTCGAATACAACATCGACAGGTCGCTCTCCCTCGAGAGTTATCTACCTGTTCACATGTTTTTGTACGAGTAGATTCGGTACGCAAACCTTGGCAACAACCTTACGAAGGTCCTTTTCGCGTGATCGCTCGTCACGAAAAGACCTTCAAGGTTGATCGACACGGCCGCGTCGAGATCGTCAGCATTGATCGTCTCAAACCAACACACGTCGATGACAGTGCCCTATCTGACAACCTGAGATTCAATGCTAGACCTAGCAAACCTACTAGCGGGATCCTCAAATCATCTTCAGGTCCCACGCTAGATACATCTGAGACCTCATTCTCACGTCCCAGTCAACAGAACGCGTCATCTGCGCCGTCTACGGACGAGACGACAGTCTCACGTCCAGATCAGCAGACCACGCCGCCCTTGACTTCGGATGAGATTTCAGGCTCACGCGACGCGAACGAGACTGCTGTCTCACGTTCCGGTCGCCGAGTACGATTACCCGTACGCTTCCGCGAATAGTTGCACAGTCAAAAACCGATACGGTGTAGGATTATTTCTATACTACACGTGTGCTACACTCCTCTTTTTTTGATTTTCTTTTTGTTTCCTGAACCCGCGCCTTCGACCTTCTCCGTTTGGTTCCGTCGACTTCAGTCAACTTTGGCGAAGGCTGGCCTGATCACCCACGCTCTTGTCAACGTACTCAGTCGATATATTGGTTTCGAATGCTTGGCATACGCTTGGTCTCGAACTTGGTCGTTATGGTCGCTTCTGGTCTTTTGGCTCAACGTGGTTTCGTCCTTCGTCCGCAGCGTTTATGGTCCGGACCCGTACGAACGCCCTCTTCAGATTCTGGATACAAACCACTCTGGTAGCATGCCGACTCAGGCAACAAATACAACACATCGCTCCTGGTACTGTTATCCGAAAACGACTTTCGTTGGCAACTCGACGATCAACGATCGCTTTCCTGTTCGCCAATTCTTCCGTCCTACAATCGCTCGTCAGCCGATCAGTCCCACGATTCAAACCGCTATTTGTCGAAAGTGTAAACCCTTTCTAGCGGGGGGCTCCTGTAGTGACTCACGTTTATCACGAGAACACGACTGGTTTAATAAAAACAATTATTATTATAACCAACTGTACCAGTGTTTGTTTTAACGTGCTTTTGTTTGACTGTGCTAATGACAGCTATTTTGTGCTTCCATTCATATACACACACTTTGGTTGTAACTTCGCGCGAATTCGGTTACCTTCTGTAACCAAGGTTGTATCCTGGCACGATCTCGGTATCCTTTCGATGCCACGAGATTGCCAGCAAATAAACCTCGACTTGGTCCATTAACTGTCTTCTGATATTTGGCTTCTCGGGGATTTTATGGATCTATTTGGTTACGTCCAACCCTCGCCTTCTGATTTATCTGGCACGTGTTTCTTGGTAGCGGTGTTCATAGTTAACCTCAACACGACGCCACGCTACACAACTCTCAAGGAACTGCTGCTAGACTATGTTAATTATACAAATTTCGAATGCGGTAAAGGAGGAAGATCTCGTAAAATAATTCATGAGGATATAAAAAACACCACTACATTACTACGTAATCCCAACCCAGTGCATACTCAAAGTTATGCAGACAATTCATTGAGTTTGGATGCAGTTCACGAGGATGGGGACAAGTTTGGTCAGTGTTTGTCCTGTTGCAAGTTCCACTCTTCTAATTCATGTCAATTTCGTAATTCTATGTGCTTCAAATGTCGTGATATTGGGAAAGTTCAGTCGGTTTGTAATGCTAATGTTCATCTTACTGCAACTAATATTAAGTCCTGTAATTCTGATTCTACTGAGTCTAGTATTAATGATGATCATTTATCTTTATCAACGATTTCAAAAGACAGTGCCGATTCGAACTGCAGTTCAGAGTTAAATGAAATCCAGAATTCTAGTGAGACAACAGTTCCTAATCAACCGATTTATCAGAATTCTCATGCTATTGTACCAGGTATGACTTTTCCTAATGATTCACATATTTCTAATGAAATTACTTGCAATTCTGGGGAAAATATGTTCAATAAACCTAATCATGATCGAAAACCTGATGTGGTTTGGATAGATGCTGATTTTTCTAACGATCCCACGCTCTGCAATGACAGTCCTAATGAATTTCATAAGAATATTTCAGAAGAATCAAATCTTGATGTCATATCATATATTACCTATCCTCATAAAGCATTTGATCCTTATGAAAAACCTGCTCAATGCGGAGCACGAGTACTAAGTGACCTCGAGTTTGATTACATTTCGGATGATTTCATATCAACTGCTGTTTAAACTTATCACAAAAACAGTTCTAGTGTTTACTCTAAACAATGTGAGAAATATGTTTTAAATGAAGCCACATTATTCATAACTTGGGGATATAAAGATCCAACATTATTTCGTGGGGGAGGATAATGTTGAATAATCTATGTTTCAAATTCTAGATATTAATGATGTAGGATCCAAACTACGGTTTGGATGTTGAAGAATAGCCGACCGGGGACTTTAGACACGCGCCCTTTCCCGTCGAAATCAGAACAAGTAATCGGGTAACTAGCGGTTCTATAATTCATAATAAATTTAATGTAAATCATTACCTAAACAAATATTATCACCCGGCTATTCAACCAATGATTGTTCAATCAATTAAATCTGAATTACAATAAATAAAGAAGTTGATAGAAGATGAGGAAAAATTAACAATTACAACGAATGAACGTTATTCTATCCTGGCTGGATAGATCACACACAACAGGAGGAACAAATCAATATGGCTACCGCCAAGAACAAATGTCAAGTAAAACAACGCAGATGCAGTTCAGGAAGAAACACAAACTTAGTGAATGTGTAATAAAAACAAAAACTATAACAAAAATACAAATATTAACAATTCAAATGTAATCAAAATACAACAATGTACAACTAGTGTGATCAATAGTACAAGTATATACATGGAGGGATTTTCACCAACCCACAAGACCTTCAAAATGGATCTTACAAATGATTTCAGTACAAAACCGACATGCTGGTTGTATAGAATTCCAGGTGAGTTTGTTCCGATTTCGTTTGTTAATTCCAATACTAATGAGCACTTTCTGGATACTACAACGTTTTTATCTTATACAATGTCGGACAGACTCAGGATGAACTTAACAAGAAGACGTACAACCGATTACAAACACTTGTACTTCTATTTAAGCTGTGACGGATGTGGTGTTTGAACGAACTAATAATACCTTTGTACTTGTTGAATGCTCGATTTCGAATTCCAAATACACTACATTCGTTTGTGTTTGTGTCTCACTTCTTAATTCAATTGCGTTAATTCTGGGATTCCTAGTTCATAATACAATTCAAATAATTCAAAACA